ACATAAGAAACTAGAGGAACAAGGAATATTTTATTTATATACACAAAGTAGAGCAAAAAATTACATCAGCTTAAAACTGATCATTTGTCACGAGATATAACGAGTCGTCAAACGAAACATTAAATTTTTTGAACTCAAAGAGTCTGTCACCTATCAGACTAGACAACAAATGGAGATCAGTTCAAAATTTCCATTACAGTTGTCGAAACAAGCAGAAATTATTCAGTTCATTGATAGGTGTGTGTCACATCGGACGACTATTGACATTTAGTCCTTTTCAGAGAAAACAGGTAGAAGCCAACCCCATTACTTCAGGAATATTAATCTGCCTACAATAAGATAACAGGTGCTATTTGTAAGGTATAGTAAAATTTTCCCCATCCATTCGAGGAGCTTAAATCTGACTAATTATCATATCAGTCAGCCTGCCCGCACATTATCATTTATCCTTTTGTTACATATCAACATACAGCCATTTCAAAGCACACTGCCAAGCTTTCGCAAACATCCAAGATTCGAAAATTAACATTTTTATTACATTATTGCGACTATACGACGATAAGTCGGCCGGCACCTGATGTCACCGACAGTTTCAATCTATATAATTCACAATCGCGTGTGTCTGCCTCCTGTTTCGCTTACTTTATACAGCTTTGAACAGCTCTTAGAGAACTCACAGTCAAATTTTTGTCCATTTGTTTTAAAAAAAGTTTTTATGCCGATTGTACTATTTGTGCATGTGAAATTTTGACAGCACGGTCACTAGGTTTAAATGAGCTTTGTAGACCTGGAGAGAATTTATAATGAATCCCGCGCAAAAAAGCCATTTAAGTGTTTGCCGACGTAGCGGATCGATTGTTAAGAGTCATCCAGTCACTATATGTTATTAGAAGATGCTGTTTACAGTAGACAGCCCTATGTCTAATTATTTTAACCTTGGAATTGGTATCCAACAACATTGCGTTCTCTCTCTCTCTCTCTCTCCTGTCAGTGATATACATAGATAGGACATACAATCGCAGCCAGGGTGAATCGTGCATCAATGTAGGAGATGCGGACACGAGAAGGTTGCTGTTTGCAGACTACCTTGTTTCACCGACATCTTCCAAAACTTTCTCAGGGCGCTCTGGAAAGGTCCGCAGCCAAGTGAGTGCCAACATGTCCAAAACAAAATACCTAGTATTTTTCGAACATACTCTGCTCAACTCTTCAGGTGAATGGGCATGGGCATGTGGAATTGGTGGGAAAGTTCAAGTAATTCAGAATCGTGCCTTTTGCGAAGGAAAGTGCAGGTGTCAGCCGGAGTCCAGAGTTCAGGCATCCTGGAAAGCCTTAGAATATGGCCACTGTTTCGAGAGATCAAGTAGTCACCGCTGCGAATATTGGAAGATCTACAGAAAGGAAGGCGAAACAGCTACTAGTTGCCCAAACGACCGGCCGAAGAACCTGTGGACTGCTAAAAATGACAAGAGACAAGTGTCTCGATGGACTCTGCTCCAGACTCGAGTTATCTTCTGCCAAAGCACATATGCAAATGCATGGTCAAGAACGTTGGATACAAAGTTTGGCGAAGTTACCGCTAGAATCGGAAGGATAAACAGGACAAT